GTTGGTCGGGGGTGGACAGAACCCCCAACAGTGACACGTCGATTAGTGAATTGTCCGTTTTCGGTTCTCGAGAAGGCGCCGCGGCCGTTATTTTCCAGGCTTGCGCCCGCCAGGTTCGGGCCTCAGGTCGTTTTCACTAAACCACGTTTTACTAAAGGGAGGTCTGTCCATCCCCGAGTTGGGAGGGGGGGGGGGGCGGATGGGGGGGAGTGTAAAGGGGGAAAGGGAGGGAGGTGGAAAGAGGGAGGGAAGGAAGGAGGAGGAAATTGGAAGGAGGAGCGGGGGGGAGACAGTGGAGGCCCCTGCCGAGAAACACCCAGCTTGCTTCCAGGTTGTCCTCGGTGTTTGTTCGGGTTTCGCTGGTTCTGCTGTGGAAGGCGTGACGTTCCCTAGGGGAACGAACAATGACATAAACATAGCAACTCGGAGGTCCGCGCGGATTTCTCGGATCCGCGCTGGACCCCCCTGGCGGCGCCTCCGGCGCCGCCCCTGGCGCGCTCTGCGCGCCAGGGAGAGGGGGTCCAGCCCCGATCCGAGCAAGTCGCGCGGACCTCCGAGTTTTTATGTTTATGTCATTGTTTGTTCCCCTATTCCCACACCAAAAATCAGTGGACGTCCTGGGGTCTCAGGGTTGGGTTTCTTGTGGAAGGTTTCTTGTGGTCGGGCCTCCACTGTAGGGAAGGGATATCGGCGACGAGCGACGAGGGGGGGAGTGGGCAGGAGAAGGCCCTCTTAGAAGGCGGCGGGACTTCTCATCTGCCCTCGCGCTCTCTGAGTTTGCCGTGTCGTCGGGGAAGGCTTTGGAATTTTCTCACACGGCATACAGGGGGATAGGCATAGGGGGGATGCATCGAGGTTCTAGGCTCTAGGTTTTCGATTCGAGGTTCTAGGTTTTAGGTTCTACGATAGGGTCGTTTTCGATTCGAGGTTCTAGGTTTTTGAAGGGCTGCGACCTGATGGATCTCCCCGTTGTTCTCGGGCTTCTTTCCTTGAGGAGGGTGGCACCAGGGTTAGTTTAAGGAAAGCCCTGGCCTTCGGTGTATCCTGACTGTCTTCGTGCTCGGGCTCCCTACACTGGAAGATCCTCCGTTTTTTGGCGTCTCCGTGGGGCAGCGGGCCCTCGGCGAACGGGCTCGCGCTCCTGACCCGCATGCTCGTGGCACACACACACACACACACACGCACACACACACACACGCGCGCACACACACGCATACACACATACACGCGCGCACACGCGCACACGCGCGCGCACACACATAGGCGCACACACGCGCGAGCTCACACACGCACACGCACACGCGCACACACACACACACACACGCACACACACACACACACGCACACACACACACACACACACGCACACACACACACACACACGCACACGCGCACACACACACACACACACACACGCACACGCACACGCACACACAACTACACACAAAGCCCAGGATCCCCCATATTTGCCCCATATGTTATGGGTTTTCGTCTTCCCCCTTCCCTATACTTCCCCATATTTCCAAAGAGATCTTTTCCCGGGAGTCGACGGCGACTTGTGCAGGTGTGCTGCTTCCCCTGCCGAGTGCACACATAAATACACTAATCCCCAGATTCCCCAGAACAATCGTATGTTTCTATGTTTTCGGGGGGAACCGTCCAGGTCCGAGTGGATGGGGTCGGAGGACCGCGCCGCATCGCCGATGCATCAGCGATGCGGCTCGCTCTGGAGTCCGTGTTTCCCCACGCCGACGTCGCCGATGTGTCGCCAACGCATCGCCGATGCATCGCCGATGCATCGCGGATACGTCGGCGATGCATTGGCGATGCGGCGCGATCCTTCGACCCCATCAACTAGGACCCCATCTAGGAGGCCTCCAGGGGCACCCACAGGGCGGCGAAGGCGACGCTCCGAGAAGCTCGGCCACGCGAAGCCGGGGGTGCAGGGCCCATTTCGACCTCCTCCAGTTCGATCCGCTTCGACTCCGAGGGCTTCTGATGCCGATCCGGTTCGACGTCGGATGCCGAGTCGGCTTCCGACTTCTCTCCCTCGAGGCCTGCTGGCTTGTCGATTTCCGCCGATGCGACTTCTCTCAACTCGGCCGCCGATGGCCGCCGATCCGATGCATTTCGATCGCCGATCCGACTTACCAATGCGATTCTCGGCTCGCCTGGAGGTGGGGGGAGGGGAGGGCTTCTCAGAAGCGTCCGTGTTTCTCAGAAGGCGCGGGCCTCGTTTGTTGATGTGAAGCCAGCGCCTTAGAAGAAGCACCGCCTCCTTATGAGAAGCCTTGCCCCCTCCCTCCACCCCCCCCCTTGTGCGCGCCGCCAAACAATGGCAAGTCCATCTCAGGATTTCATTCCAGATTTCTGAGTTCCCCACAGGCTCCAGAAGCGCGGGCGGCCAGATGCTCCCGAATTCCACTGGGGTGCACCTTAAGCGAGTCGCATCTTGATACATATCTCGCATGACTTCTTGGAACATTTGGCATGGACATGCGTTCTCGGACGTCCACCCAGATCTCGTGGATCGGCGAGGGGGGTTCCATCGCCGATCGAAGAAATCCTGGCGGACCTCCGACAGTTTCTGTTTATCTAGGCCTCCTAGATGGGATCCGAGGAGATGGGGTCGGAGGATCGCGCCGCATCGCCGATGCATCGCCGATGCGTTTTGATGTGGAGCTCGATTTTCTCTGCGCCGGTGTCGCTGAAGTACCGCCGGCGTCGCCGCCGATGCATCGTCGGTGCATCGACAATGTATCGGTGATGCGGCGCGATCCTTCCACTCCATCTACTCGGACCCCATCTAGGGGGCCTCTAGTTTGTGCCCCGTATCGTTCCTCTAGACTCGGTCCTCCGCCCCCCCCCCCCCCCTGCGGCCCTCGCCTGGGGTGGGTCAGAGGTGAGTACCTGCGAACACGGGCCTGGCGCCAGGCTCGATGATCCTCAGGACGTGTGTAAGCCCAGTGCGTGCATTGGGAACGGCCAGGAGGCCCACTGATATCGAAATTATGGCCCTTCGCTTCGGGGCGACTTTGGTGGATCGCTTTCTTTTGGCGAAAGGTACTGTCAGGACCCAGGGGTCCGCCAATCCTTTCTCGAGTGTCTCTTGGTATCGGTTTGTCGTTGCTGGCGCCCCAGCGGATATCCCATTCGGTTCAGCCGATAGCACGCAGCTTGTGCCGACATTCCGTTCACCTCCTGCGTCGTCATACGCAAGTGTGGGAACGGACAATGACATAAACATAAACACTCGGAGGTCCGCGCGGAGTTCTCGGATCGGCGCTGGACCTCCTACCTGGCGCGCGGAGCGCGCCAGGGGCGGCGCCGGAGGCGCCGCCAGGGGGCCCCAGCGCCGATCCGAGAATTCCGCGCGGACCTCCGAGTTTTATGTTTATGTCATTGCACGACCTTGGCAGTAAGTCTGGCGTGTCCCTGGACAGGAGGAATGTTCAAAAATTGAAAAAATAGTCTCGGGAAGATGTTTCGACTATGACCTCATGCCCGTGAGAATAAACACTAGGGGATAATAAAGTTCGGGGTTCAGGGAGAGATAATAAAAGTAGCCCAGCAGACCTCAGCATAATCTCGACGTAAGAGATGATCAAGAGGAGACCAAGCCGAGCACGTTTTGAGACATCCTTGGCGTTTAGTTTTCATAGAAATATCCTCAACAATGGCTTATCTCGCTGGAATGGAGGAAGCTATATATAAAAAAGAAAAATAAAAAGAATAAATAATAAAATAAAAGAAATGATAGGAGGAGGAGAAGGACGAAGAGAAGAAATAATCTCGAGTTTCAAATCTATTAGATTTTATTTACAAGCGCTTTATGAAAATAGTTTTTTTGTAAGTGCTCGTGTAGGGTAGCTCATGTGCCTCAATTTCCATGGATAATCAACCCCAGAAATAAAAAAAGTTCAGGCGAGCGTGGGGACAGAGAGAACTATAAAAGAAGAAGAATACAGTAGAAGAATAATAAGAAAGAAGAAGAGGATAATAAGAAGAGGACGAATAAAGGAAACATCCAAAGTTCCAAATCTATCAATTTTAATTTACAAACGCTTTATGAAAATTGATTTTTTTAAGTGCTCGTGTAGGGTAGCTCATGTGCTTCATTTTCCATGGATAATCAACCCCAGGGATAAAAAAAGTTCAGGCGAGCGTGAGGACATATAGAAATATAAAAGAAGAAGATGAAAGTAGAATAATAATAAGAAGAGAGGCAGAAGAGAAGAATAATAAGAAGAGAATAATAACGGAAAAATGGAAAGTTCCAAATCTATCAATTTTAATTTACAAACGCTTCATGAAAATTGTTTTTTTAGTGCTCATGTAGGGTAGCTCATGTGCTCCCCTTTCCGTGGATAATCAACCCCAGAGATAAAAAAGTTCAGGCGCGCGCGGGGATAGCAACATCGCTTGATGTTGCTATCTCAACATAGCGTTTCGAGGTGATAATGAAGTTCGGCCTCAGCGCTCGCCGCCCAATTTGAATTTTGTATAGGGCGACGATAATCAACTCTAAACACTGAAGGGGGGGGTCCCTTTATTATCATCGGCATGCGATTGTTTTGATTATTTTTGTATATTTTGGAGGGTACTTTTTATTTGTCGTACAATATCCGCCTGTTGAGGGGACATGCCCGACCTAACCTTGGCACGGCTCGGACGTGTGCGTCTGTTTTTTAATGGGCGAAGAACAGTACATTTACAATAACAGTTTTCGTTGTCGAAGGCGTCTGTCCCAGGACGGCTGGAAAGTTCATACCCGTACGGTGGCACGTCAAACTATACATTTTCCAGCTGCCTTGGGGCAGCGCCCCCGGTGACGGAACAAATTATGTTATACCGTCCTTCGCCCGCTAACCTTCTCCCGGCGAGGGCCATCGGTCATCGATTGGGCAGCGAAGAATGACATAAACGTAAAAACCTCTGCGGACAGAAGAGGCGCGAGGAGCTTGGCGAGGCTCGTGCCAGAGCCAGTGCACGCCTGCCCG